GCCTGGCAGAGCGAGCCGTGTTTTCCCTGTTGTTCACTGAGGAGCCACGCCAGGAAAGTGATTCACCCCTTTCCATCATGAATCTTGCAGAGCATCTCAAGCACCTTCTCGCTGCTGGTGCCCCCGGCAGCTGCAAGATGGAGAGAGTGGCAGTGACCAGGGGAAGGACCACAGGTTCCAGCGTGCAATTCTCCGCCACGCTCCGGCTAACCGGGATGTGCACTCCCGTGGCAAGGAAAGCAGAGGAGAGCTCAGGCTGCATTGCAGGGCTCCACAGGCTGGCGTGTGTGAGACCAGGACTGTTCCCACCCCTTTGTGTCCCGAGGCCTTAATGAGAGCAAGAATGCTGCTGGAGGGTCGCTAGAGAAGCTGCCGGGTGCGCTGGGGCTTTGTGCTGTGCAGAGCTGCGGCTCCGTGCACGCGGTGCCTTTGTTCCTGCCTCGGATGCACCGGAGCAGAGCTCATCTCGTTAGTGATGGTTTGGCTTCCCCCCAGGACGTTTTCCTTCTGCTCTTTCCATTCCCCTGCCTTCGGGTCACGGCAGTTGGGTTCGAGCCAGTGCAGCTTATTGGGGAGGGGTGCAGCAATCGAGGGGTTTGGGATGTTTTTTTTTCTCCTGTGGAGATGGAATCAGGTTGTGCAAAGGGTCCCAAATGCTGCATTGGTACCAGGAATGCTGGGTGAGCCTGCATGGCCCTAGCATCCTGCTGCAGGCTTTACCTAAATTGGGAAAGAAAAAAGTGTAACAGATTGGTGTGGGGGGGAAAAATATAGCAGGATTTTTTTTTTCTCAGATGTCAGAGAAGGTGGGTTTGTGTCTCTGCTGGCTCCGAGCTGGCTCGTCCCCTCCTTTGCTCTTTTGCTGTGGGCTGTGGAGCGGGAGGCTGGCAGCCCTGCTGCTATTCCTGGTGGTGACAAGCTGGTGATGGGAGACGAGGGATGGTGAAAACAAAGTGTAGGGAACATTCATTAGCAATTATCCCTGCTTGCAGCTTGAGCTGGGTGGCTGTTGGGGACATCTGATAGCCACTTAATACATGTTCAAAGCGCTGGCTCTGGCGTGAGGGTGAGTCTGGTGGCTGGTTTTTGGAGGAGCCCAGCTCTCAGCTCCCTTTTCCAGCTTCCTTTAACCTCGAGCTCTTCCTGCAGGTGTTAAGCTGCCTTGAGATCTGCTTTTCTCTTCCCTCCCACCTAATCTCCTCACAGCTGGGGTCTTCCAGACCTGTTAGCAGCAAAGTGAAGCCCAGCTGGAGAGGTGGGACGAGCAGGGGGGGCAGTGGTTGTGTGGAGGCTGTGTGTAGAGCGTGTCTGTGGGGTGTTGGTGTGAAGCAGTGGGAGGAGCAGCTCTTGGTGAGCCACATCAGCTGTTTGCAGCCCACAGAGCCCACTGGCCTCCCACCTGCCTTGCTGCCTGCTGACTACAAGGTGGCAGAAGGTCTGAAAGGAGGCTCAATCTTTTTTTTCACACTGTAGTTGCATTGCATAACCTCTCCCTTTCGAGCTTCTCTGGTCATCTGCAGGATTGGAGAAGGGTAGGTTTGCTCCCTTTTGAGGGACAGTCTGGTCTCTGGACTGTGTTTGTTGTATCTACCTTCTAAATGCCAAGTTGCTTCTAGGTAGAGACAGTGTAAAGACTGGAGTACCAGCACCTGTCTTATTAACACCCCCAATATGAGAGAGATTAGTGCTGTTGAATTTAAGAGGGGGCATCCCCCATCAGACTCCTGGCTGGGTTTGATTCTTGGTCTCTGGAAGAGAGGAAGCATGGTTTCCCTCTCAACTGACCTTTTATTTGAAAAACTGCTGTTGGAGATTATCTTTACTGGGGATCACAGAATCCCACACTGGTTGGGGTTGGGAGTGACCATAAAGTTAATGTCATTTTATTCCCTGCCATGGGGTGAAACATGCCTCCCACTAGAGCTAGTTGTTCCAAGCCCTGTCCAACCTGAACAATATGACAGGATATGCTCTGTCCTCTCCCTCTGCTGCACCAGCTCTGGGTTTTGGGTTTTTATTCCAAGCTCAGGTTTACTGAAGTGATGATGGACTACCTGTGGGGTGGAGTAGGTGGGAATAAATTTTTTATTTGTCTCCTAAACTTCCTGTCTTACAGACAGTAGAGTGACTCCACTGACCTTTCACAACAGAAACAGTGAGAAATTAGGTTTTGGTACTTAAATTTGGGCAAATTTGGACAATGTAACGGAGGCAGACCTGTTTGGTGTCTTGATGGCAGCATTTCTTCTGAGAGTGGAGCTTCCTGAATTTCTGTGGGATTAATGAATGGAATGTACTCATGGAAGAGACTGGGGGAAGAGGGGAGCTGGGCTGTTGGCTTGGCTCAGCATCTTGTGGGAGCTCAGCCTCATCTTCCTCGCCTGGGAGCATCCTGACTCTAGGCAGAGGAAAGGGTTATGGCTCTTTCCTGGCTCCAGCCCACAGGAATATTCTGGAGTTCTGTTCACCAGGATGAGATAAGAGATTTCTGGGGTAGGTACAGTAGGAAACCTTAAATGCAGCGGCTGGATGAGGAGCACCTTCCCTGTGTCATGGAAGTGAGATGCCAGAGGAAGCACCAAAGCTTTTTAAAATGAAGGACACAAAGGGCTTTGGCTCACAGATGGACGTGCACCCTGGGAGCAAAGATGAAAGGCTGTGGTGTAGAAGCAGGAATTCAAGTCACAGTTGTGGCATCCACCTTGGCCTTGAGATCGGATTGAGTGGGAACTGTTGGAGCTGAAGGCTTGATTCAGGTTTTGACTGAAAGCTGTCAGTGGAGAAACCAACTGGCTGTTGCTTCACTGCTGATGCCTGTTTGGGAGATGTTCCCAGGATGGGGCTGTAAAAGGTGTGAGGGGGGACGTGGTGGTGTCCAGGTCTGCCTGGGAGATGTGGCTGAGGGGATTTGGGAATCAGCTGTATTCCAGCAGCAGGACCTCTGCAACACACCCGTCATGGCTGCCCCACCTGGCTGAAGGAGCCACGGGCTGAACCGGGTGTAGCGGAGCAGGAAGGATCACCTCTGCAGCCAGGTTTGGGTAGCCTTTGGTCCTCCAGGAAGAACCTTGGTCCTTGGGCTTGTCCTTAGGTCCTCCAGCCATGGAGGTGCCACCGGTCACCCAGGAGATGCCGAGAGCGACAAAGCAGTGCCAGCATTTCACACTCTCCAGGCGTTGACTGGGATATTCACTTTGGCTCTTCCTAACCTTCCAAGATTCTCCTTCCCTGCAGATGGGAAATGAAAATCCTTGGCATGGGCATGGAACAGTGGAAGCAAGTCAAGTAAGGTGACTCAGCCAAAAACGAACAGAGAGGAAGAAACCTGTCCAAGCCTGGGTCGGTGCAGCAGGGCATGGGCGCATGGTGCGGATCAGGGCAGCTCCTCCTCCCCAGCACGGAGCTGCATGGAGCAGCTGAGTGCTTGTACCTCTCTCTTACCCAGTGCACAGCTTTTACATGCTATTGTAAAATGAGAGGGCTTGGAAGCACTTCCCCTGGTTGATCCAGTCCCAGCGCTGGGCTTCTGTAAATCTCCCTGAACTGCTGGCAGTGCTGCCAAACCCTGCTGCAGTGTGGGGAGAGCAGGTCGCTCCCTGCTTCCCTCGCCGTGCCCAGCTGTTCCAGGGCAAATCCAAACTCATTTTGGCAGGTCGGTGAGAGCTTTTCAAACACTCGGCCTAGGAGTCATTTGTTAGTAACAAATGGGGGATTTGCCAGGACACGCAGCTCCATCTGGTCTGGCATCCTGTCCCCTCCAGCAGCCTTGACGGATCTGCTCGAGGAAGGCAGGGGAGCAGGAAAAAAAAGAAGGCATTTTTCCCATGGAAGGAAAACCACTTCCACAGTCTGTTTGAGCAGGGTTTCCTGGGCTGGAGCATCCTCGTGGCATGCGCTGGCCTCAGTGCCTGTCAGCACCAGCTCTGCAGCTCATGGACAATCTGAGGTGAGAGCTGAGACATACATTTTTTATGACTGTTTTGCATTTCACCTCTGAATGCCAGAGAGGCTGAGCTGCAGCCAGCCAGGATCTTGGTGTGCTTCCTGCATGCAGTGGGTTTTTTCTCCTTTTTCTTCACATGGTTAATGAGAGAAACAATTTTAGAGTTTTTTTTTCCCCACATGGTTAATGAGAGAAACAATTTTAGAGGTCTTCTTCCAACCTAAATTCTTCTATAATTCTATAATCTGTTTATTCTCTTTTTATAAAATTCCCTCATGTCTCATGTGTTAAAATCCTTCCAATGACACTACAAATGGAGCCAGCCCTGAGCTGACCTCTCTGAGCCATCACCTTGGTATGTAGCAGGTGTGTTGCTCACGCTTTATATACAAGTGAATGTCAAGGAATGTGTGTCCCACAGTGGGACAGTGCACTCTCCAAGTCTCAAATCCTTGTGTTTGGGATTGAGCTTTGTGGGGAACATTTGGGGATGTATCTGTAGCTGGGACAGCTGGTGGTGACCACCTTTCTGGTGGTCATTTCAGGCTGGGTTTGGCAGGTTGTTTTGGTTGTGGTGCTGGTGTGCTGTCCATGACCAGTTAGGGATTAGTGTGAATATTCACATTCCTGGTCATCTGAATCCAGGGATGCATCAGGCTGAAAATCTGTCCCTTGCTTGTCCCAGTGAACAGGTGGGCTGGTGATGGTAGGGCCCCAACCACCTCCCTCTCAAGATCTCAGGGTTATGATCAGCCTCAATCAAGTGTGAAACCACAGGGGTAGCACAGGTTGGTGCTAAAGGGGGCTGAAAGGGGTTTGGGAACACCCAGGGTGAGCGGATCCAAAGAGACAACGAGGGGCTTGCAGAATAAGACCCAAACTTGGAATTGTTTAGGGTTTTTTCATTAGAAGTTCTTGAAGTGGTTTGGTCTGAGCTGCTACAGCCTCCATATGACCCATGTCTTGGCTAAGATCCCTCTGTTCTTGCCCACTGAGCTCCTTCTGTGCCCACGCAGCCATCCTGACTCTGCTTTCTGTGTCTCTCCGTCTTTCACAGTATCCAGACCTGAGCCAGGAGTCCGGGTCTCCATTTGTCTTTATCTGCACTAATCCCCAGGAGATGGTTCTGAAGTTTCCCATCAAAGGAAAACACAAAATCTGTAAGTAGTGAAGTTTCCCCAGGTGCCCCCCCAGCCCTCGGAGCTGGTTCTCCTTGCCATCCCAGCTTGCTGTTGCCAGATGAGTTCCCAACTTTCACCGTCTGCTCTTTGATCTGGAGGTGTTTGTTTAATAGCTTGAATACATCTGTAATATTTTTTTGTCTTCAGTTCCCCTTTCTCCAGATGTTGCTTCCTTCCAAATACATGCTTCTTCCTGCCTCTGCAAACACTCTGGGAGTCAAAGAGCAGTCGTGTCGGTGGCTGATCTGCTGCCAGCACCAGCCTGGCTCAGGACAGGAGTCGGTGCAGCAATGCCCAGGCAGACCCAGGCCACCTCCATGTCCTGTAGTTCCAAATCACACTCTTGCTCCTGAGGGCAGCGAGGGCTTGAACAGCAAGAGCTGCAGGGCCAGATGGATGTTCCCCATCTGCAGGCCGGTGGGATGGGATGGGATGGGATGTCCTGGCAGAGCGCACGGGGAAGCGCCGCAGCATCTGTCCGCGCTCCGCTTGCCAGCGTCGTTAGTCCCTTTTACGAGCCACCAGCCCCTCCGCAGGCTGCCAGTTATTCCTGCCCGCTGCTATAAAAAGGATGGAGGAGGGAATGCGGCAGCTGGGGAGCCCGCAGTCAGCTCCGTCCTTATTAGCAGCCTCCCCACCACACAGCCCGGGGAAGGCACCGCACGCGCTTGCAGGGGATGTGAAAAATTAATTTGACGGGCTAAAAGCAGCAGAAGCAGGAAGAGTCTTGGCTGTTTATTCAGCAGAGCTGACAACTGGGTGATCTCCCGCCTTTCCACGTGGATCCTTGGGCTAGTACCTGAGGCTCAGGAGTGTTGGGATTTCTCAGGACTGGTTAATAAGGGCTTTTTTGAAACACAGCAGAAGGTTATTTTTGTTGCCTTTGAGGGTCTTTTTCCCTCTCTGCTCAGGGAAGCACATTTCTGCCACAGCTGGATGTTGGGATGTCCTGCAAAACCATTTCATTTCTTCCTTGCCTTTTTGAGCAGCAACTGGGAGGTGTATTCAGCCAAAGCTGACCAGTGCTTGGACACCTGCAAGCACTCAAATCTCTCTTACGGTCCTCCCCCTAGATGGGTTATTCTGAGTGCCAGTGAGCAGGCAGGAGTTATTTAGGATGCAAATCTTGGCTGTGGCTTAGCCTTGTGGCCCTTGTGTGCTGGTGCAGCCACTGCATCCTTTTTTTCTCTTGTTTAACCTCTCCTTTGCTCTCTCCAGGCTCATGCTCCTTCTCTCCCACCTCTGCCTCTGTCTGGCCGTGGGTGGGAGAGGGCAAAGCTGCTCTGCGGCTCCTGCGCGTCTGCCTTGCCGGGTGCAGGTGCTGCCAGTCCCCTCCCCATCTGTCACATCATCTCCTTTGTGTTGTGACACTTTCCTGCTTGGAGAAGGATCAGTCTAACAGCCTGGAAGGAAGCCGGCTGTGCTGGCGGCTGCCTGTGCTCCCACTCCTACTGCTGGCCCTGCCTTCCCTGCCCTCCATCCCAATAGGAGCTGTCACAGGAGCAGCACAGGGGGCTGTGGAGCTGTGTGTTCACCTCCCAGAAGGGACATGGTCCGTCTGGGTGATATTTATGACAGCCTAAGGAAGGAGCAGGGAAGCCTTTGACCTTTCATCGGCGCAAGGCGCTGTTTTAATAGAAGCTGGCATTGCATCCCAGGCAGTCAGAAGCTTAATTCTCCCAGCTGGAAGCTGAGCAGAGGGAAGGTGCCAGCTCACATCCCCACTTGGGCTTGCTGGCTGCCCTGGTCTCCTTGAAACCTGGCTCAAACCATGACAAAATGCCAGTTTGTCCTGTTGGGAAGCCAAGCCAGAGCAGTTTTCCGTGCCAGATAACAGCATGGACCTCGCCACAGTGACATCCGGATGCTTCTCTGTTGCAAATTGTTTCTAGCAGCCTGGGGATGGGAAAAAAAACCCTAGCATGGCTCATTTTTTTCTGCCAGGGTCATTGTTTTTCTGGAAGGGATGGGCACAGGGTTGCATCTGGGGGCACAGCTCTCCCCAGATACGTCCCCCTGTAGTTTTAGTGCACAAGGACAAAGCTCGCTGGCCTTTCTCACGGGAGATTTCCTTGAATCCAGGCAAAGCTACCCTGAAGCATCAATCAGAAGCCTCCCTCCACCAGCCAGTGTCTGTAAGAGTGAAGAAAAGCAGAGGACATGGTGTGAGACAAGAGGCCTTGACTCATTGAGCAGAAAGAGCAAGGGACCCTGGGGCTTTGCCTTATTTTTAGCCTTTTCTGAAAGGTTACCTGTGTGGTGTGTGGTGTTTGCGAGCTGGAAGAGCAGAGGAGCTTCCCAATGTTTTTGGGGTCCAGGAGAAGCAGGCAGGCACATAAAAATAACAGCCCTGGTGACAGTAGGTGGTGTTGGGGGACCAGGACATGGAGAGAATGTGAACTTGCTGCCTTTCCCCTGCCAAAACCACCCCTAACATGGGGACAGGGTGGTCTGACACACTGCCGGGCTCAGCCTGCTGGGGTGCCAATGGCTGGAAACGGCAATTGTGAGGAGGGGGCTTCTTCCCCATCCTTAGGCAGTGGGGGGAAGGTCTTGTCTGGGGTGGCCGAGGAGATGGAGGATCTCCCAGAACATCTTCCAATCCATATTTCAGTTTGTGGATCTCTGGCATGGTGATCTGCAAACTGTCTTTGTTGAACTGGAATTGAGAAGTTTTCTTGGTTTGAAGAGACGGTGATGGTCACTGGCTGGTTAGGAGCTGTTTTCTCTGGAGAAGCACCTGCTTCTTATGGCACATGGGCATTTACCAGCAGATTTTGGAGCAGTGGCCGAAGTAGAACTTTGGAGCCTGGTGTATCTTGCCCTATCCCTGTTCCCAGCTGCAGAGACAGGGCAAGGCTGGCATTTAGAGGATGAGAGATGCAGGGGAGCAGCAGGAAGGCAAGTCCTGGGGAGATATGGCATTAGAGGAGGTGTCCAGTATTGGCTGCTGGCAGAGCCTCTCTGGAAAGCTGGCTCTGGGAGCTGGGAGAGCAGGAGCATTCTTGCATTTTTACAGACAGGAAGAAGAGGATAAGGACACTCCTCTCAGGAAGCACATCACTATGCCTGGCTTCTGGCTTCTTCAGCAGGAGTTGTCCAAAATCCCATGTTCTGGTGTCCTGCTCCTGTCCCAGGTGGGAAAGCAGAGCTGGCAGTGTAGTCCCCAAGGGCTGCCAAGGACAAGGAGAAGGCAGTGTTTTCTCCAGGTCCCACTGGAGCTGCTGACTGAGGTTTTCCCTGGTGGCAAAGGCAGCAGATGGCCTTGGAGACCACCAACCTGGCACATAGCAACATGGAGCAGGTGTCCCCATCACACTGGGTACCCATTGCACCGTCATCCCAGGCTGAAGGTTTGTTGTCCCCAGTCCTGCCTTTTCCCACACCGTGGAAAAACATCCCTGGCACATTGCTGGATGGTTCCTCATCTCCTCAGAGCATCCTGCAGGCAGGCACAGGGATTTGTTTCCCCCCGGTAGTGGCAGGCGAATGTTGGATGTTAATTCACTCCTCTCCTCGCTGAATTTCCCCCTCTCTGGCATCTCTTGGCCGCGTCGGACGCGCTCCTCGCCCCTGGCTCCCCGGTGTCGCGCCTGCAGAGAGAGGCCGGCGGCTGGAAACGCCTGGCTCCTCAAGCAGGATAATTGGATGTGACAGGAACACACTAACTAGGAGACCTCGCTGCCTCCAGCTCATTTGCATTGCAAATAGCATTTAAAAATAAAGAGTGATGAGGGTTTGTTGTGTTTTTTTCTTTTTTCTTTAATCCCCTCTTTACAGGGAAGCTGGATGCAAAGATCCATCAGGGAGCAAAGAAGGGGTTAATGAAGCAGAAAGCTGTGGGGTGAGCGCCGGGGAGCAGCACTGGTTCCCATGAAGCACCCAACTGCCTCTGAAGGGAGCCAGGATGGTCTTCAGCTCTGGAAAGCAGGTGCAAGATGGATCCCTGATCTCAGATTATGTTTAGGTATTGCTTTCTCTCTTGTATTCCGAAAATATTAAAAGATATTTGTTTTCACCAAGACCTGACCCAACAGCCCTGTGCTTCCAGGGAGGTCCCGCGCTGCAGGCAAGGGTGGGTGGGAGATGGAGCTTGGCATGGTGTGGTTCAGCTATCACAGGCACCCACAGGAGCAGCATGATGGGGCATGGGGAGCTCTCCAGCAGCAGGCAGCCCAGCTCCATCCTGGCTTTGGCAGCATCTCCCTCTCAAAAGGTGCCTTGAGGTGTTTTTTGCTCTGTGGGGTCAGACACATGGAGGAGAAGGGTGAGAAGCTGAGGGGATGAGGGGGATGGCTCCCAACAGCCAGAGAGCCACTGCCAAGTGGGGATGGGAGGTTTGTGGTTAGAGATGGGTTCTGTGCCTGCTCACAGGTGCTCTTCCAGCCCTTTGGAATCACTGCTGAGTGCCCAACCTTATATCCTTCTGCTGATTTGTACCAAAGCAGCAGCCTTTCCCCAAGACCTGGCCTCCAGCAGCTGTGTGTAGAACACCTTCGGAATAAGCTGAATTTTGTCTTTTTCTCTACTCCCTCTCCCCACATTACCATGTCCATGCTCATCATGCACTGGTGTGTACTGGGCTGTGATCCCTTCATGTGGTGCTCCAGGCTCTGCCGTGTCCCAGTCTAAGAGCTCCTCCTCATTACCCTGAGCCCACCCTGCTCTGGCAGGGACAGAGTGATCCCCCCGGCACTTCCAGCTTCCCTTTTCCTCCTCTTTCCCAGGAATGCGGTGGGAGCTGCCAGCTCAACTGCTTGGCACAGTCCCTGGGTGGAGGTTGTCCCAGCCCTCTGCCCTATGGGTGAGGAGGAGGAGGGTGCAAAACTTTTGTGCTGCAGCACTGGAAATCATCCCATGCCATTTGCCCTGGGAGTTGTCTTCTGGCTCCATTCGCTGCCTGTGGGATCTCTGAGGTGCTGGAAGTGATGGGACTGGATCCAACGCCCACCCACGTTATCCCTCAGTGGGAAAACCCTCGCTGGTGTTTCAGCTCTGAGCTGCCTGCAATTGGCACATAGGTTATGGTATGGGAGCTGTTCTTCAATGTGGCCAAGGGTGATGGGATTCTCCTGCTTCTTTCCTCCTCTGGCTGCATCCCTCCATCTGCTCTGTCCCTTGTGTCCCACCACTGTGGTCCAGTCAGCTGTGCTGGGATTCCTGGAGGCTTCCCTGCACTGTTCTTACATGGACATTCTTCTGTCCTGCTGGATGTCCCTTGAGAATGATGGAGAATATCTGTGGTGCCAACAGTAGCAGAGCTGGAGAGGGATGGGGGGCTTGGGGAGCCATCCCAGAGTCCCGGTGCCTTGGGAAGAAGGAGGCAGGAGAGACCTTCCTTGTGGGCTGTGTGGGAGAGGCGGGACACAGGGATGGAAGTCAGCATCCAGGGAGGAGGTGCCAGGCTGGCTCCAGGTGGTGCAGCCCCAGCTCCTGCTGTCATCCCAGGAGTGCAGCACCATCAGACAAGACCATGACAGAGGGGGATCTTGTTCCAACTCTGTGATCCCACAAAATCCCACCTTCCCATCACATCTAGTGCCTGTTAAAATCCCTCTCCCAAGATACTGCTTCCCCAGATGGGTCACCCATCCCATGCCTGAGCCAGGCTTTAATAAGAGCCCATGATTTGGCTCCATATTAAAGCAGATCCATCTCCTGCATCCATCTCTGACAGTGGCTGCTCCCTTGTCACCTCCGTGTCTTTTGTCACTCACAGCTCACGTCCACCTGGTGCCTGCAGGTTTCATCCCTAAGGGTTCCACGTCCACTCTCTTCTGTAGGATCCTGTGGGATCTCCGGCAGCCACAGGCAGGCTGGATCACAGGCCCCGCTTGTGGCTGTGGCAAAACATCATTGGAGCAATGCTGAGATCGTTCCCAATGGAACTGCCTTGCCTGGCAGGGGTTTTATTTTCCTCCTGTATTAGTGGCATCACAATTTTGCCAGGAAAGATGCACTGATCCATCCCTGGTTCGTCCTGTGTTCCTGTCTGACGCTGGTTTTTCCACCCTTGGAAGCACCTTTCCTGGTCTGGGATTTGCTGAACATCAACAACAAATGCCCATAAAACCTTTTACCCAATCCTTGAAAGTACTTCAGTAAAAACTGACCTGGTTTTATTAATGCAGGTTGTCTTGGAGCCTGCTGACATTGGCTCTGTGCTCTGCAAGAACAGCTTCTCCTCATCAGGATAAGGAAAGATTTCTTCTCTTTCTCTCTTTTGGGCTTTAAGAATTCTCATGCCTCTTTTCCTGTTGATTTAAACATCTCCTGGCTCCCTCCCACTTTCCCCAGTCCCAAAAGCTGGTGAGACACTCAAACCTCTGGCCTTCTTGGCATCACCTCCTTTGCCAGAGATTTGGGTCTTGTGTTCTTGTTTGGGGCAAAAAGCATCAGAAGAAATTGGCATCTCCTTTGGTGCTCTCCTGAAATCACACTGGATGGTGGCACACTCAAGGGATGGTGGCACCTCTTCGGGCTGGAATACTTACAGCATCCCCTGGCTGGGTGGATGGAGTTGGTGCTGCTCTCCCTCTGCAGGACCTGCAGATTTGTGCATGTTCCTGCTCCATGCTCAGCCCTGACAGATGCCAGCTGGGATCCTGCATCCCACCTCCCATTGGCACAGCTTGCCGCACTGGTTCACCTTCCTGGTTTTGGGTGTCATGGAGACAGGACTGGGACATCCACTGAGCTGAACCGAAATTTCCTCACCAAACAGTAGGGCTGATGCTGAGGCTTTGGGAAAAGGAGCAGAGGTTTTGGGTTGTCTGGGGGCTAGGGTTGAGATGAGCTGGAATTTCCACCCTGGCCGGCAGGGCCGGTGCTGAGGCTTTAGGTGGGAAGTTTAGGGGACACGTCACCTCCAGGGCATGAGAACGGCTGGGGACCCAGGTGCTCTTTCCATCCAGAAGAGTGTTTGGAAAGGAAAAGTGTCAGCGTGGGGCACGATGTGGTGGATTTTGAGGTAGGTGTGGGCGCCCGGGGTGGTGATGACTCCCTCCCCCTGCCTTTCTGTGCTGGCCCTGGGAGCTAAAAGCGTGGCCTTGGAGGGACCGCACCGGGCTGAGGTCTCACAAGACACCACTCAGAGGGTGGAACATCCCTGAAAGATTCCCCCCTCCATTTCCGAGGAGGCACTACGGCGGCTCCGGCTCCTCAGGCAGGGAACGCTCCGCTCCGGGCTTTGTCTGTCTCCAGCTCCCGATTCTTCAGGCGGAGTATCCGCTCCGTGTTTTCCCGCCGCCCGGGGACGCCGCTCCACGTTCCGCCCTCCGCGTTTTGCGCCGCGTCCGCCCCGCCCCGCCCGGCGGACCCGGCGCGGCCTGCGCGGCGCGGCCTCAGCGCGTGGCGGCGGGCCTCGGGCACCCCCCCCTCGCCCCTTCTGCACGGGCTGGGCCCCGGCCGCCGCCGTGAGCCGTGACCGCCGGGACGGGGATATGTGCCCTCCCCGCCTCTTCCTTGTGACCCCCGGGAAGGCGGCTGTGCCCTCCCCCACCCCCCCGCGGCCCCCCCCGTGACCCTTACGGACGGGGATCTGGGTACCCTTCCCCCGGGACCGTTGGGAAAGGGATTTTCAGTGCCCCCCCCCGTGACCCCTGGGAATGGGGCTGCGCGCCCCCCCGGACCCTTGGGGAGTCTTTGTGGCCCCCACCTCTGCGACCACTGGGGATGAGGATATGTGCGTCCCCCTCCCTCATCGCTGGCCGTAGGGATGGAGCTCCGGAGCCTCCCCCCGGGGCCGTTGGGACGAGGGTCTGTGTGCCCCTGGCCCCCCCTCCCGGAGCACGGGGGCGGTTGCGGGTCTCTCCGGTGGCCGTTGGGATGGAGCCCCCGCGGGTGTTGTGGCCGTTGGGGGTCGGGTCCCCCCGAGACCCGCCTGTGCCGTCGCGAGGGCCGCGCTCAGCGTCCCGGGGTCCCCACGGCTGGGAGGGGGTGTCTCTCCCCTGCGTGGGGTCACCGCCATGCCAGGTTTTGTGGGAAGGATCGCGGGGGTGATGCGGACGAGGAGGGGGTTCTCGAGAGGATGGCGGTGTTCCTGGGCGGAGGCGGGGGTCACCCCTCTTGACCCCCGTCTCTGTGAAGGGAGGGTTTGGGGGGCAGGGGGACAGCGCGAGCGGAGGTTCCCTGGACCTCAGCTCTTTTGTAGTGCCGGTAGGGGGTTCTCCGCACAAATCCCGGAAGATTGAATGTTCCCCAACGCGTTTAGCGAGTCCCTGTGAGTTTGGGGCGGGTCAGACCCCGAGAGCGGAGCCCCTCCGAGCATCACCCCCGGGGCCGGGCCCTGTGCCGGCGGCCGTGTGCCGCAGTACGAGCCGCCCTCCTTCGAGTCCTTCGAGCCCCCGTTGGCCAGCGGGCCCATCTGGAGGTGACCCCGCCGGTGACAACGTGGCCGGGTGTCCCGCGAGGGCAGGGGCGGCCGGCGGGGCAAGCGCTCCTGCCCTGCGCTCTCCCGCCCGTTGTGTACACGGGGAAGGTCACAGGTTCAGGTCTGGTCTGCGAGACTTGGCTCCCCTCCATCTCCCAGCAGCCTTCCTTTTGCCTTTCCTTTCTTTTTCCCCCGCTTTCTGGGAAGGCCCTTTCCCTTGGAGGAGGCTTTAGAGACATATTTTCCAAAGTGTGCACCGAAGAGTCCCATGGGGTCTTTCCCCCTCCTCCGGAATGTCCAAGGATGCCGGTGTTGGGGCTGGCTTTTGGGCTCCATCGTGTGCAGGCAGTTCCTCGCCTGGACATCCTCAGGAAAACCTATTTCCACGCTTTGTGCGATGACTCCAGCATCAGATTATGCTGCACGTTTCTAGCTCTTTGTTGGCAGTACGCGACCGCACATGCACGGCACTCAGAAAATCCAGGCAGCTGATTTTATTGATTAGCTCTTGGCCAAAAAGAATTTATATTTTATTGTTTTGAAGCTGTTTGAGTCGCAAGACACAAATCCTTGCCTTTTTACACCCTTGTTCATCCCCTCTCCTGTGAGGGGGAGAAGGGAGATGTGTGCAGCACTAGGAGAGTGATGTCT